AAGGTATAACAATAGTTATCTACTTTGCTGGATAATAAAGGCAAGTTAAACTAAATATAAAGTATTTAGCTCAGAATCTGGCACTTAATAAGTGGGGCATAAATATTAGCAATTTATTTATAAATGAGAAGACGATTAAGAGTAATAATGATTATAATTATATTTTTGATTGCTGCAGTGTTAAAGCTTCCAAATAGAAATCACCTTTGATTGCATACATTTATTTAATGGACATAGATAATTTACATATTTGCATAAGAAAGTTGTGTCTGTTGGAAAATACTGCATAAAATATTTTTACAGTAATAACATTTAAAACTTCCTTTCCCTCAAAGGTAATTTTTAAAATGACAATGGTCAGAAGTATAATTTAATAATGTGCAGATAGATAGTATTGGATTTTAAAAGGCATGAGAGATAAATAAAGCCTCAAAAGGGCAAGATGATGGCTGACTTTAACCTGACTATCCCTATAGTAATTCTGATAAGAAGAATAAGGCAAAATACAATAATATTGGATCCTACGATGCAGAAATTTGTTGATTTCTGCAGATGTAGTTGAAGAAACTATTAAAGTTATTTATATAAATGCCAAGTCTTTGAATGGTCCAGACCAGAGAATGGGCACTTGAGAGGGAAGGAGAGAAGAATCGGTGAGGCTGGGAGAAGAACCATGAAATGCCGGTAGAAATGGTGCTACAGCAGAGAAAAACAGCCAGGCCCAAGGCCACGTGCAGGATGCCACTAGCCTGCTGAATCTGTCCACTTCAAAGGAGCAGTTTCTGCCTGAGAGCAGGCAACAGAATATGTGATTATGAGTTGAAAGTTTAGTGGTTCTTTTGTTCAGCTTTGGGGGAAGCCCAGATAGGGCTTTTTGTGGAAACATTTTTAAAAAGTAAATAGAAGAGCTTGATTTTTTTTTAAAATGATGAACAAATTAACACAAAGAAATAAAAAGCATACAAATGTGTGATTTCTGAGAAATGTTTTAATCACAGAAAATTAAATAATAACAAGCAGGAAGAAATCTAAATCACTGTCAAAAAATACCAAAAGTTACAGCAGAGTGCGGACACCTCTGAAAGGCAACCTGAGAGAAAGAACAGCTGGAATAAGTAAGGATGCCCGCAGGGCTGGGAGTAGGAGTAAGGGTGGTGCACAAAACCCTAGAAGGGTTCTGATCAGAGAGGAAGGAAGCATGGCTCTCTCCTTCAAGGGTCTAAAGTAGGGGTTTGCTTCACTTAAAGACAGCAGAGGGACTGGTGTAAATGTGTATGTCATGCCTCCAAATTTCATCTCATTACATTATGGCTCAGTTACTCATTTGATCCTCCTAGATTTGCTAAACAGCAATGAAAGAATAACTGTAGAATGAGACAGGAAAGCAGAGAAAGTAGCACAATCCAGAAAGGGGCATTCTCCCTAGAGTTTAAAAAGAATTTCTATTCACTTTAGGAGCTGAAGACAAATAGTTCATCAAAACTGGGAGATGGGGATGTGAAAGTGTCAGCCTGTGTGTGGCACCTCTCTGGTCAAGGCATCTGCTTCTCCATGTGCAGTATGAGCTAAAGCTGGACACTGTGCTCAGAGGTCATTTCTGGCTTTGCTTTTGTTTTATTATTATTATTATTTAGAATTAACATGGAGAAGTAGGTAATTTTGGTCTTTACCTATTAATGGAGTAAAACATTCTTATTGTAAAATGATGGGAGTTTAGGAACCTAAAGGACAAATATGTGCGTTAAGATAAATCAGTAATTCCTACCTTAAACCTCAATGTAGTTGATGTCAGAATTCTTTTTGGGTGGCTGGTTTTTTCAAATTGAGTGTCTAGCATTTTTGGAGATGATTTGAAAAAATGATAAGTATGACTTTCAAAGGACAGGCTCAGATTTGGTAAGAAACTCCAAAGAATATACTTCAAAAAATTAAAGAGAAAAATTAAGGAATAATAGAAAGAAAACTAGACAAAATTTGAAAAGAAAAAGGATTCAAACTTATTTAAATCACATTTTTAAAATGTAAAGCTATTACAATATTCCTTTCATTGCTACTAAATACATACTTTCTTCAGGATTTCGGGAAGTTTTGAGATGGGAACTCTCCTCCATGTGGTCTACATCGTATCTGGTATTAGTGCTTCAAGGGAAGAGTTAAAGTCCTAGAATTAAGCTGGTGGGACATAGAACTGCCTCAACCTCCAAGCCACCTGCACGTTTTTTGTCCCAGAAGTTTGAACAATGTCTTATATAAGGTAAATAAGAAAAATGAAGGTAAAGGCTAACTTTTATTTTCCCACCAACTTATACCCTACAAGGTACTCCAGCTGGAAACAGGGCTTGAGAGAGACAGCAATATTGCACATGAGCAGCAGACATCAAGGATTTGTGGACACTGGTAGCTACAGAGACATCATGTTGCCCACAGCCCACAGCCAGTGAGACATATTAACCAACAAAATACTGGACTCAAACCTACATAAGAAGCCCCTCCTCACTGTCCTTGCCCACTTTGTCGGGAGATACGACGAATTACCGTGGTGCATAGTGGTGACTGTGACGGGAACGTCCCCAAGCCAAGATTTGTCAGGAGTGTAGGGCATGGCCAGCTGGCTTTGACTTCTAGCAGCACATGTTAGAGCGTTTGACTGTATTCTGTCTAAAAAGGGCATTTGTTACCCTTTAACCAAGTTTTTTTTTTTTTTTTTTAAGAGTGTTATTAATATAAAACTAAAATGCCATGTGTTCTGAGTCCAGTGGAATTCACAAGCACCTGTAGGAGTCTTAACTACGTTGGTAAATGATTTTTCAGTTGTCTAGCATACCATCTTCCTTCTGTGATCTTAAGCCGAGACCATAAAGGTTTTAATTAATAATTATCACCACGAATCTTCCAGGTGTGTGCCAGTGAGGATTACTTAACTGAAGTAAATAAGGGTAAGATATGCATTTACATATTTATATGCATACTTATATTAGAAGCTCAAATTCCTCCTGAAAACTCTAAATAAATAATTCAACACCAAAATACGAATTCTGCTTCTAACCTAGAATGATATTTTAAAAAAATGTTTATGCATGTTTTTAAATTCTAAGGATTCTAAGGATCTAAGGAAAATAGTGCTAACAAATAAGCACAGTAGTTTATTCAATTCACATATGACAGGGGAAAGAAATTTTTGTAATAACATTGCTAGTTAAAATAAAGAATCATATTTTGATCTAAATAATCAGAATGAAAAATAGTTTAAAAAATAGAAAAATGAAGTTCAGAGGTAAGAATTGAGAAAGTAAAAATAAAAAACCATAAAAGGAATTTCTTTAGAATGAATGGGTAACATTCTGAATAAAAATCTTGATGTTTGTATTTCTTTTCAGAGTGTGTGTGTCATAAGAATTTTGCAAAATGTTCTTTTTTGTTAATCCTAATATAAGATATTGATCATAGTTGAAATACCACTTATTGGTCAATATTTGAATGGAAACTACATGCTTATTTAATTCAAAAATTATTCTATTTATTACACACATAATAGTTTTGCTTGGATTGAAATAGTGAAAACATCAATATGAAAAGATTTATTTAGAAAAATTATTGATGCTTAAAAACTAGGTTAAAATGTGATATTTTAATAAAAATACATAGCATTGTATTATTGGGTTTAAATTATAAATACAAGCAACAACAAAAAGGAAAAGAACATTTCTAGGTGACATAAAATTAATGTAAGCAATACTACCAGAAATAGAGTTAGTGCCTGATACAGTAAAAATAATTATTTCAGATGAAATCAGCTCTCATTATTGGATTTCATTCATGGATTTTCTAGTATCTTAAGTGGTACCTTTAAATTCTTTACAGCAATATCAATAAACAGCTTGGCCAAAAGAAAAAAAAAAATCTCATTTGTTGAGGGATGAAATTCTCATGGCATACTTTCCACATCCTATAATTTGTTCTGCATGCCTCCCTGGTCTTAGTTGGTGATAAAATAAAGTTTCACTTTGATAAACCGAATGTACAAAATACGTTTTAAAGCCAATGCTCTGTATAGCAATATTCTTTTCTTATCACTGACAGTACAAAACTGTGGCATACTGATTTCTACTCTGAGTCATTTTCACAAAGTCAACTAGAGCTGATGTTCACAAAATTTAGAGTTCTGATTTCCATACATATATGACATGAGTTGTGCTGAAATATCAAGAAATGTGTGCTTGAAATATATAAATTATTTTCACCCTATGTAAGTCAAATGACTAACCTAAGAAATATAAAGTTAAACTTCATTTATCCATGAAGAGATGTAGGTTTGATAAAGGCATTGCAATCATGAGATTAACTCTTCAATATTCACATAATTTCCCATCCTTTAAAAATTTCTCCTTTATTTCTATAATAAATTACAGATATGGCACATCTCTAATAGTCAATAATATACAAAATGAAAGCCTTTAAAATTTGATAATAAATTGAAATGAATACATATGTTCACTTTTAAAATAAAGCCTATGCAAAGACTTTAAGTCTATCCTATATGACTAGCACTATAAAATTAAATTTACCGATTTCTTTTTAAAAAATGAAAAATAAACAAGATGAACAGAATACAATATCTCACTTACTATTGGGCTTTATAAGTGTGAAACTTGTTAATGTTCTATTTACTGCAGATCATCATCTCCTACTCCAGTTTGTTAAAGAAAGATATGCACACGACATCATATTTAACACTTCCGAAGAAACCAGATAAAGAAAGTTAATGAGTTATATTCAATGGTAAGGTAAAATTCCCATATTCTTTGCTAAATTTTCTAAATCAAATGGTAAGAGTTGGCAGGAATTCTGTGAGAACCTACCTAACTTACATCCCAGTCCAAATATTAAGAAGTTTGCTACAGCCATTCTTGTCTAATGATTAATCAGCAAACACTGAAATGCACCAAAGTTCAACTCTTATGGCACGGCCTTTGTAAGGATAGACTAGAAAGGCAGGCTACCTTTATGCTTAATCCAAATCCTCCTACTGTTTGTCTTCTGATGGTCACCGTTCTTTCCTGAAAGACAGGATTTTTAAGAATGGTTAGTGTTTCCTAATACTATACTTACACACCGTTTTCTGTTGTTGTTTGGTTTTCTTCTGGGTTTTGCTTTTGCTCTTTAAAAAAAGACAACTCTATTGTGGTGGGATAGATGGTCCACATTTTGTAAAAAATAGTCCTTGACTTTTAAATTTAAGGGATATTCGTCAAAATAAAAGGGAGTAAAGTGTTAATAAACTCCTAAACTCTTAAAAATAAGTTATTCTCAATGATTATTTTGGGCATATTTTGGAATCTAAACTTTTATACTTCTTCTTATTTCCACATCACGTATTCATGTTTTCTAGGAAATGACAAGTTTTAGGTTATATAAAAGGAACTCAGGGGCAATGGTAAATATGATCTTGGTAAACCATGGCCCTGTCTCCATCACTGCCTGGAATTTGGGAGCTAAGCTGGGAGGCTGCTGTGGCCAGCACAGAAATGATTCATATGAGTGCTTTAGATTGAAAGTGAATAAACCAAGTCCACAATAAATGAATTGCTTGTTCATAAAATTAATACATTACACATCTAAGTAATAATGATAATTGAATTATCAACTTTAAAAATTAGTTTCTTTTCCTCTCCACAATAGAAGTAATTCAGTCACTGGCCTATAAACCTTCAAATTCACAAAGATGATGGCATGAGAACAAAGAGCTACATTTGGACAAATCCTGTAATTTTCAATTTGAAAAATCGATACTGCTCTGATTTTAGGCAGTCGTCTCTACATACTGCTTACTGTGGAGGCACATTATAGGACTGAACGCTTTAATTTATGGCTTGCTCCATTACATCAACCTTCTTGAACCTCCCCCTGTGCAGAGCCATTTGAGACACTGACCCCTTTCCCCTGCATCTGGGATATATATTTGTTATCTGGTCCCTATATCTCTACAAATGCCTTTTGCCCACATTATCCACTTCCAAATGGAAATACCCCTCTTTCTTACAGATGAATTGCTTCCCTCATTCCTTTATTCTGCAGAAACTGTGTGGAACAGATAATATCATTTAAAAAGAACTAGTGAAAATCAGAAAAATGTGTGCTTCTGCTGGCTCTTGCTAAATATTTTAAGACAGCATAAGACTCTTCATTTTGGCAAGGTTAAAAACTTCCTTTTTTAGCCAAAAGTTTGGTTTCTATGAATAGAACAAAATAATGCTTAAAGAACAAGATCTCCATGCCAGAATTTGAGGTATACTAATATTGATTTATTTTGAATTTTGAAAATAGGACTTTTTGATGAAGATTGGTGCATATTTACTTAGAAATTATTATTATTATTTTTGAATGCAAATGAGTAACATTCAATGATATAAATTGTCTTTATTTTCACAATGTGCTGAGTAATTTCATCTATTTCTAAAATACTTATGTTACTCTTATAATCTGTCATCTAATCATACTTTCAATCCAACATTAAAATTATAATTGCACAAATAAGTTTATATGTGTATAACAATTTATGCAAAGCAACTTAAAATATAAGACAAACTAAACTTTACTGTATTAAATAAAACACCAAAGCAAAAAGGAAGGTTAAACATGTGTATACTAGATACACAAAAATCTATTAATAATTTAAGATAAACTACATATGTATTAGAAATGTCTTTTTATTGAACAGGAGAAGTGCAATTGGTCTAATTAATAATTAATTAATATTTATTATTTCTTATTAAATGATTCATTAAAGAGAAGTTGAATATTGCACACAATATTGGAATTGAAGTTAGCGAACATGCCAATGACTCAAATAGCCACAACTTCATATGTTCAGCAAATTACTTATGCCCTGTGAGCCTCTGTTTTCAAATTTGCAAAATGCTGATAAATAATACATACCAATTAAAAGTTTTGTTTTGAGAATTAACATTTGTAAAGGACTCTGGCATAGAGTAGAAATTTAATGTACATACACACACACACACACTCCAATATTCTACACAGAGATTCTTATATAATAGTCATTTTAATATATTTACATCATAGAATAACTCAAATTCTGGAAGACTCAGATTCAGGAACAGGCAAATTAAATAGTGACTATTTTTCCTCTAAAATAGATAGGTAAACTGCTTTTATAAAACTGGCCACCAACTAAACTAAAACTCCCGGATGACAGGAACTATGTCCTTTTTTCCTTTTCTGTAAAAAGTAAATACGCGATTCCTTAAAACAGTATCAAAATCAATGGCGCAGTCATCCAGAAAACCCATATCAGTTGTCTTCAAATACAAATTTCAATCAGAGCAAATGCATTTTAATCAGCAAATGGCATCCCCTAAATTTTGTAGAGCATTTTGCATAGCAATCATTGGTCATGAGGAAAACTTGGTCAGTAATTGCTGCTCAGTAGCTAAATGTGTACTGAAATGCTGCTTTCCTTTGACAGAAACAACAAGCATCCCAAGGTTCTCAAAAACCATTTCTTTGAATTTCTTTACTCATGCTTGACAAGCCCACCCTCTAATCTCTGGTGGAGAATATTTAGATCATGTTCCAAATCAAATACAAAATTGCTGATGCAGAAAAGATTTCGGAGAGACTAAAGAGTCAGCAGAAACTACCAAAAATATCTCAAAAACAGCGCTTATCTTAATGTTTTATTAAACACCTGGACACACGCACATATACATGCAAACCCTAGCTAGTGCCTCCAGTTGCTGCTTCTTCATTAGCTTACTTTTAAGAAAGTTAAGAGAGACGAGGCAAAACAAATTACTTCGTGTTTGAAAACCAAGATTGTGCATTGGTCACTGCAGGCAGCAGGAAGCATAAAAGGGGAAAGAACTGTTCTTGGTGTGACCTCTGCTAATATGTTCCCAGTTGTTTGTGTTTGCGCTAGCTCTGCCACTTTATCCCCTTACACCTCTGCTTCTTCCCTCCTCCCAAAATAGATGCAATAAAAAGAAGAAAAGAACCTTGTCAAATACTCAGCTTATAAATCAGACAATACCTGGAAGCTGACCTGAAATTATATTTAGTTAACACATCATGAGTGTGGTAAAGACTGTTGCCAGGTAACAAAACACCGTCCTTTGGGAGACCAAAGTATTGTCAGTGATTTTATCTTGTAAAACACAAAATCTGGGCTGATGCTCCTATACAGTCTCATATACACAAAATGCCTTCGTTTAATCTTCCTATTCCTTACAAAAATGCAAAGGATTGAGTCCAAGATTAATATCAGACTTTATAAAGACTGGCTACACACCTAAATAATCAACATCAGTGTTACAAAAAAAAAAAAAAAAAAAAAGCCTTGTATTAAACACTTAGTATGCTTTGTAGAAAAATATAACTAGCACCTCTGCTTTTTGGAATATTATATTATAAGTTGCATATAGGGAGAGATTATATGAACTATATGAAAAAAATATACATGACACCAAAAAAAAGTTGGCATCATATATGTTAGGTATTGAAATTTTGAGATATATATGTGAAAAAGTTAGGAAGAAGTGGAAACCATGCAGAAACTAAAGAGGTTATCATTGGAAAATTGTACTAATTTTGTGTTATAGAAACCAATGCATTATTGTTTGCAGAAAAATAATGGAAAGAAAATAGAGAATGTTAATAGTTCTTTTTGACAACTAAGGAAGAGTAGCTAAAGCTGAAAAAGGAATAATGAAGATGATGGCTTCTAATTATTAAAAATCTACTATCGGTACTTACAGCTCTCATAGCACTTACAATTGTTTATTGAAGAGAACAATGCCCTTGACTTTTTCCCTCCAAATTTTCTGAGAACTGGACCTATGTCTTACACCAAGTTCTCTCATAAGCATTTAGGACAGGTCCTAAATCAAAGTTAGGTATTAAAATGTTAAATGAATAAATATTCATTCAAACATTATTCTAAGTAATTATCACAACAAGCCACTGGTGTAGGAATTTTTTTTTTCTAATTAAGAGATGAGGAAATCAAAATGTGAAAGAGTGAAATTAACTTGACCAAGATCCAAGTTGTGATTGAAACCAAGATTTTTCTGACCTCTGCTGTTCTTTCTATCCTAACAGGCCTGGAATAAAATGAAGAATTAGAATGAAAAAATAATAATAATAAAACCCTGAAAACTCATGGTGCAATGTAGTAAAAATGGGGAGAAATGTAATATTTTCCCTGCAAGATTGGGAATACGACCAGGATGTCCCTGTTCACCATTACAATTCAACATCTTGATGTCCTAGCTAATGCAATGATGAAATACTATGAAATAAAGGCTTATGAAATGAACAAACAGAAAAAGAACTGTGTTTGTTTTTTGTCAATGTATAAAATCCCAAAGAATTGAAAAAAAAAAAATTCTTCTGGAAGTGGTAATTATAGCAAATTCATAGAATGCGAAATTATTATACAAATTAAATTGCTTTCTTACATATCAGCAAGAAGAAATTGGAATTTAAAATTCAAAGCATAATGCCATTTACAATAACACATACTAAAAGGGAAATATTTTGTGGCCCAGCACAGTGACTCATGCCTGTAATCCCAGCACTTTGGGAGGCCGAGGCAGGTGGATCACTTGAGGTCAGGAGTTTGAGACCAGCCTGGCCAAAAAGGTGAAACCCATCTCTAGTGAAAATACAAAAAAATTAGTCAAGCGTGGTGATGTGTGCCTGTAATCTCGGTTACTTGAGATTGCTTGAACACAGGAGAATCGCTTGAACATGGGAGGTGGAGGTTGCAGTAGCTGAGATCGTGCCACTGTACTCCAGCCTGGGCAATAGAGTGAGACTCTGTCTCAATAAATAAATGCATAAATAAAATAAAAAAGTAAATAAAAAAAGAAAAACATTTTGGTATAAATCTAACATAATATTAATAGAATTTATATATGAAACTAAAAAAATCTAGAGAAAAAAACTCAAATATGTTCAAAATATATGAAGGGAGAACCGCATTCATGAATTGAAAGACCTAATATTTTTAAGATGTCGATACTTCCCAACTTGATTT